CACACACACACACACACACACACACACACACACACACACACACACACTAATACACTTACCAGATGTTCCTCGTCTATTTACTGATATTTGTCCTCTACTGGTGGGTCTGGTTGAGTGAATTTGATTTGCAGTTGGCTGCATGCGGTTGTTGCTCATCATTCTAAAAACCAGGTGTTCCTCAGTGTGGGTACGAAGGCTGCTGCGTGTCCGATAACCATCTGACACGAAAAGAGTGAGAGAAAAACTGAGACTTTAATAAAAAAAAGATGTATACAGAAGAAAGTCAACATTTGCAGAGTATACTGTTATATTTCACCAAAACGTCTCAGCTGAGGCTTTTTTTTTTAAAAAGCATCCCATCTCTTTATTCACTTTCACGTTCTTGTATTGCCCTTTACATGCTCTAAGAAACATTTGCAACATCTGGATTCAAGATAGATAATATCCGAGGACACAGACCATGCAATGTCACGCTGCTATCAGTTGGATGTATGGCTAGCAAATGGAAAATAGCAATGCATTCGCTTTGCTATTAAACTCCAACGGAGTGTGATCTTGTATAGATCCAATGTGTGGAATAACTTTTTGGCTATGACAGTGTGTCAATAAGACACAGAATCTAAAGCTGCTGTGTGAATTATAGGATACAGTTATTCATTCCCATGGCTGATTATCAATTTGAAAAGTAAAACTCGGTCATGGTGACAAATGGTTGTAATCATTTAAACATTACAGTATTGACGGTGTGCATTGCTTTCAGTCAGTCAGTTAAGTCATCCCCTTGAAGTGGCAAAGGTAAAAAAGTTAAAGAGAAAATCACAACTCACCCAAGCAATATAGATCAATAAAAGAGTAACCATGGTTGGGAGGAATTTATTAGCCTATTAATACTAATTGAATTCATGCAAATTTATCAAATTACATGTGATACGATAATCCATTTGTCCAGTGAGCGGGCAGCAAACCAATATTGCTTAACAAGCCTGTTCAGCCTATCCCGACCGCTGCAATGCAATCACTGCTGTTTTCTTCTTTCTCCCCAGTGGTTAGCCAATCAATTAATACTATTGACTGGGTGGAGAATCTACTAACTACTCTAAATAAGCTGCAAATGAAAAGAGGAAAGGAGGAGAGGAGTCAGACAGCCGGCTTCTAAACTCCGGGGACTGAAATACAAAGAAAATACTCAGAAATGAATGCAAAGATACCACTTGAAGTCTGTCAGTCTGTCTATCTGCCAGTTTCTTCCTTCATTTGTCTGCAAGTCTTTGATCTTCTTGTTGCTTGTCCCTCTACCTGTTAATCTGCATTTTAGCACATTTTACTGTTAGTATCCCTATACAGCTTCATATATCTCCTTTTTCTCTCTCTCTCTCTCTCTCTCTGTCTGTCTGTCTCTCTCTCCCCCTCTCTTTCTCTCTCCCACTCCCTCTCTGTCTCTGTCTCTCTCTCTCCCTCTCTGTCTCTCTCTCTCTCTCTCTGGATGCACATGAGACAGAACCAGCACTCTAACAACCTCATTTTCTGACTGACCGGGTGACAGGGAGTAGGAGCAAAAAGGAGAGAGAGGTGGAAAGGTAGAGCAGGAGACATATAAAACCTGTTGGATCTCAGCCCTGCCTGGGAAAAAAAAAAAAAAGAGTAAAATGGAGGAGACAGATGGAGGGGATGGAGGGACATAAATGAGTGTGGAGTGTTGTCAAGGTGATATTCCTCCTCTCTAACCTTTCTCTCTCATTAACTTTGGAGTTTTAACGATGGTGGCAGAGACAGTGCGGCGTTTGACGAGCGGCCGGCTGCATGGCACGAGGGCGGTAGTGGTGCCCTTGTGGGAGTCTCTCGCTGTCAACCTCATTCGTTTGACACAAGCTTGACAATGAAATGGTGAAAAGCTGGACGTCAGGACTCGAAGAGAAAAAGGTTGATGGGATCATTTTTGAGCCGTATAGCGATTTACTTCGTATGAATTGGAATATCCCAGCCGAATCAAAACAGCGGCCCCTGTTTGAAATGCATGTATTCAACAGCCTTGGACAAGAGTTGAAGGTGTAATGAGCCCCAAGATAAATTATAGCTCCTGATCCAATCCAAGTATTATTATTTTAACTCTGATGCAATTTGGAGGTGAAGGCTAGACTTCCATCAGCCTTGTCGGACAGTCTGATCACCTCGAAGACATGGCTAGTTTACATCATTAGTGTTCAACAGTGATTCTCAAGAAGCATGCTGTGGTTACAAATAGGAAATATGGGGATACTTACCCCAATGGCAATATAATGGTCTACCGCAGTCACAGTTAATGTCAGATGTTTTACAAAAAGATCTTGTTACAGCAGGATTTGTCCGGTGCTGTTCAAGGTGAAACTTGGCAATGAAAGAAACGAGGAGGAAGAAGAATCCTAACCGTGAAACTATTCTCTGGAAGACAAAGTGTAGTGGTATATAGCATTGTATAATAATATTTCTAGCAATAATGACTAATAGGACAATGTGTTTTCAGAAGACAACACATGCCTTTCAACATCGCTCTCTAAAGACAAAGTAAATATTGAGTTGTTATCTACACTCTTCAGCCGGGAAAGAAACATGAAGAACAAGCTTCGTTTGTCTGTTGAGTGTTTCTTGGTGATGAAATATGGACGTTGCAACACAATCTCACTCCCAACTCTTCACACAGCCCAGCTGGGTCAATCGCCCTTTGCTTCACACCGTGAGGTGATAGGTTCCCCTCTGGCTGCAGGTTTGGACGCCTCAGGGACAGCATGTCAATTTCTGCTAGTCACAAGCATCCAGTCTCTTTTCAAAATAAACTTCCAATGTAGGTTTACTTTGTTTTTAGGTTTACTTCCACACAAAACATCTTAAGTTGAGTATATACATTAGGTAACAAAACTATATAAGTCAACGCTGGCTTGGTTTCACACTCTGGACACAAAGAGCAGCAGAAGTCCTGCATTTGTTCCCATCACACCGGCTTCGTATTTGAGAAGCTAACAGTGAGAACAGGTTGGGACTTTCAGAAGTTTCAGGTGAACTGTGTTCACCTACAGTTTAATAAAATGGAGGCACTAAATTTAAAAATGAAGCATGGGCAAGTGCAGGCAAAGACATACACACATAACCACACACAACTAAAAAAGGCAACTCAGGAGAGCTCCCCTTGGACCCACCAGCAGTAAATTATCGATGTTGTCCCCCATCTCTCGTTTTCCACCAAGCAGCCAGCGCTCCTCTGGGTTTAAAACTCATTTTCATCTCTCTTGTAAGCTCTTCGTTTTTACATATTTGTTCTAAATCCTATTATGAGGCCTTTGTGATATGAATAACGCTCGCAAATTGGAAAGTATCTCCAGGCAAAAGTTGGACACAGAGGTAATCTTCACAATCTAATCTCTTGAAGCGCCAAAACAGCAACAGCACTTTCTGATGTAGTTTATAGGAAAACATGAGCCAAAAAAAAGTCAATAAAATAGGAGCATTAAAATGCATGCGCACACATGTAGACTTAAAAAGACATCCCTTCTTTAACCCACCTGTTGGGTCTGAAACATGCGGTGAGGTTCGGCCTGTCAGCAGCAGGTCACAGTGTGTGTGTTCCGGTGTGTCAGAATTCAAGTCCAAACCCAGAGGCGGAAACCCATCCGGATCACAGAACTGCTCTGATCTAGGCCCAGCACTCTGGTTGTGCATCACCTAAGGGGATATGAAGACAGATGGAGGGACGCAGGAGAAGGAGGGGGTAAGTGGTATTAAAGGGAATAAATCAAAGGTGTGAGGCATAAAAGACAGATTATGTGAGGATGACGTGGAGAGATGATGCACAAAGAAACAGATGATGAAGGGAGTTGATGAGGAGGACAGGAGGGAGTGGTGCATTGGGGGACATGGGAATAGAGTGAAGAGCTGGGGAATAAGGATTTAATAGTTTGTTCTGCAGTTCCATTTCTATCCTAAAACAATCAGTTCAAAGGACAAACTGAAATTCAATAGCAATTTAACTTTTATTAAGACAGGTAAGCGGGTACAAAATTGTGTTTTGCCATTTTCTACTGTGTGAATGCATATTAATAAGCCGGTGTCTTTCACTGGAGATTATTCCCCTCTCTCCCCGTTTCCTCTGTTTCCACTTGATGAATTGATTTTTAATTAACCCCTGGAGCTGTTGAGAGCATCTCACAACGGCGTGTTGGGTTAGCCGCTCTTCCCGCGCAACTGTCCTCCTGTGAGACGGGGGTGAAATAAGGAAGCTCTGTTTAGTTAAGATTAGATCTGACGCATTAGCATGCTAGCCGTAGCTTTGCGAGACACCGTCGATGGGCCGGGAGAAAATAGAAAGTAATGCATGTGGGAATAGTATTGCTAAGAAATAGGAAGGAGCAAGGATGGAGAATGACAAGAGGGAGACAGGGCGAAAGAAATAAGAGAAGGCTTAACAATGAAACGGCGAGAGACCAAACACAATGGGACTGCGTTGAAGAAAAAAAATGCAGTTGTGTTAGTGCAGGCTAATGTCTCCTCATAACAAAAAGGATGCAGCAGTTGACTTGCTGCCTGAACTACAGCATGAAGGTTAAACAAGATGGAAGAATAAGAGAAGAAAGGGGAACAGAGAAGAGACATAAACAAATAGATGGACCAAAGAAAAACAAAGTTTACGAAGAGAGAGAGAGGGGGAGAGAGAGAGGGGGAGAGAGAGAGAGAGGACAAGAGAGAGAGGGCGATAGAGAGAGAGGGCGAGAGAGAGAGGGGGAGAGAGAGAGAGGGCGAGAGAGAGAAGACGAGATAGATAGAGAGAGAGAGAGAGGGCGAGAGAGAGGAGAAGGCGAGATAGATAGATATAGAGAGAGAGAGGGCGAGAGAGAGAAGGAGAAGGCGAGATAGATAGGGCGAGAGAGAGAAGGCGAGATAGAGAGAGAGAGAGAGAGAGAGAGAGGGCGAGAGAGAGAAGGCGAGATAGAGAGAGAGAGAGAGAGAGAGAGAGAAGGCGAGATAGATAGAGAGAGAGAGAGAGAGAGAGGGCGAGAGAGAGAAGGCGAGATAGATAGATAGAGAGAGAGAGAGAGAGGGCGGTATCAAATAGTTTAGGAGCAGTTTGATTCAGGTCCAGAGGCCACAGATAACCACCATCTTCACAATCATGAAGCTCATTTTGCTCCAGCTTTTTAATAAAGCACCAGGCCCTCTTATTCTTTTCATTCCCTTGTCACAGTATAAAGGATTCATACCATTAAATGGCTGATGGGTCATTTGGGACCATTCAAGCAGTGTCATTTTAATCCACTCCGTTTCTCCTTTCTTCCTTCAATGGTGTGCACCTTTAACACCGCTGCCTTAGGGGTCCCTGTGCTATAGATGAATAATGTAAAGTAATTAGTATGATACAAATGTTATCTGATGGATCAGGTCAGCTACAATAAGAAACGAACTGAAAGTCTTCTAATTCTATGGAGTGATAATGTAATGATGTAGTTCTCTTCAACTTCGAAAAACTAGCTCATTCATTCATTTTATCACCCAGCATGAAAGACAAACTTTAACAAATTGGGATATAACTATTACAGCCTATTTGTTTTAATTCATTTGTTAGCAATCAAATATCTTCCCCCACTGTCATATCAATTATATTTTTATCAAGTGAAGGAGTTTGCTGCAGCCCTCATTAATTAAAAAAAGGCATTCAATTTGTATGCAATAAAAAAAAATAAGAAGTCCAACAACTTCACAAGCTGCAATGCGTCAGTCACAGTAGAGTTTTCTGTGATGACGCAGCCAGTGTCGAGTGAGACCAGTGAGAGAAAAGGGAACAACGCTGGAAAAAGGATCGGGGGTAAAGGCTACAAGTTAATGTTGTACGTGCGAACATTGCTAAAAATGAAGCCAGGGGATTCGCAAGGTTCAATTAACGAGGCTTTGCACTAATTGATGTTAGCGTGGCTAGTAACGACCGGGCGGCTGAGAACAACGTCTTCCGCTGTTTTTCACATGATAATTGGACACGAAAGCACACGTGCCAAACAGCGTGTTACTTAAGCATTTTTCACTGAGCTGCTAAACTTCTTTGCACGCTTCTAATTTTTTTTATTTCGGAACAGTACTCCTGAAGGACAAAACGTTTTCTTTTGGCATCTTCTTATGAAAGTGCTTAATAGTGGTTGCAAATAGACTAAGTAATGGATTAAATGTACTCTGCTTATATTAGTAACACTAAAGTGAAATCTCTTTTATATCTTTGCCTGATTGTCAGCTTGACAACCACTTATGAAATGTACTTACATTTGAGCACTGTAAATGCGTGATATTCCTTGTGCTCCCCAGAAAATAGTGCTGTTACAACTCTCTAGCACAAGGTTCCTCCTCAAAGAAGAAAAAAAAAAAGCATGTGGGAATATGGAAACATGTTACCATGGATGGGTTTGACAGTTGCTCTTCCTCATGGGTCTGCAAATCTTTTTCTCTTTCTGCATCTGCGGGAACAAAGGGATCTTCTGAATGAGGTATGGCAGGATTCCCCTGCTCGTCTCTGGATCCCCCTCTCGCTAAGAGTCCGTGCAGCTGTGCTTCTTCGTCTGAAGAGTCTTCCTCGTGTGGAGCCAGACCCAGGCTATCAGTGGACATCTCATCTCCACTGTCTTCATGAAAAATACAGACACGTTTTCAAATTAATATATAATCTAAAACAAATATCCAGGCAGCTCAAACAATTTGACTTTTAAAGGTCAACAGAATGAACACATTGGATACATCTTAATGTATCGTACTTTGAATCCCTGAAGCAACATTTTCATCTCTAACATTCGGTGAAAAATGCAAATGTGATGTAAATGTCCCTTGGAATTGCCACACATGCATCAAGCTCTAACAAGCTCATAAAGCAGACTCTCAGTGTCAGACTGGTCAGAGAGCTGCAGGAAGTGAAGGGAAACACAGAGATGATGGATGAATAGAGTAAGAGAGCGAGGGGTGTGAATCGTGACTGAGAGACGTAAGAGGAGGCAAAGTAGGGAAGGAATGGGGCCATTTAAAGAACAAGTTAAAATTGAATTTATCATTTTGAAAAGACAATAAAATAAGAACAAGAAATAAAAAATACCCTGACCAAACCGTACCCTATACACAGTCAAAACATCCGGATGTATGCACATACAGCGCACTTGTGCAATTCAGAAAAAAACACTTGAAATGAATTGCTCACATGTGTATCTACTACTCTAGTGTGTGTGTGTGTGTGTGTGTGTGTGTGTGTGTGTGTGTGTGTATAGTACACTTGCATGTATGAGATAGAAGCATGTATCTGCCTCAGTGAATCCTAATGTGTGTGCTATACCGAGGGGAATTAAGTGCCATTATTTTCAGTGTAATTACTTTCCTGTCTGTTGTTGCGTTATGTCACGTATTTACTTAAAACCCTAATCGATATTTTAAAAAAATAAATAAAGAATAATTTTTATGGTTAGATCTAAATTGGCTCTGACAGCCTGGTGGAACAAAAGGAAGCCATTATTGCTGAGATCGACGGGCATTGTATTCATATAAACTGCCCGGCCATTGAGGATTGTGCTCAGGCAAAATGTTGCATGACAAAGTGTCCCATCAGGAATCGCTTTACTGCAAAGCCATAAATATGAATATGTTTCTCTCTTCTTCTTTTGTTACCCAAATCTTGGTCCCGCAAAAATGATTGTTTGGTCTCTGGAAAACTCACCAAATAATACTGCCTTGATATTAAAAAATGTATCAAATCAATGTGTTAGATTTATAGACTATATGACACATACACATAGTAGTAGTGCAGAGGAAAGTAAGGCTGTTTAGATCAAGATATAGCTACTATACATCTAACTCTAGCCATATAATCACATGCTAACGTTTCTTAAACCTGGCTATTTAGATTTGCATGCCTCTTTGGAGATCACCCTGGTAAGAGCCTTATTGATGAAGAATATACATACACAATAACATACGTGAGGAAACATTCAAATAAAGAAGTTAAGTGATGGAGCCCAGCCAAACAGGAGAATAAATTTCTCCACAAGAGAACAAGTTGCTTAAGTTTACACGCTTCCAAGTAGGTGAAATTAAACCAAAACCCGTAATTAGGTGGTGCACGTATGCGGCAGCCAGTAGCTCCTTATGAACTTTGCTACATTTTTTTAATAATTTGGTCTCATTTTGTCTTTTTTACTGGAGCACTTATGGCATATGACAGAGATACACTGAAAAAAGCGTGGGTAATGGATAAAGTGCAGCAGAGCTGGAGACAATCACCGCCCACTGCATCTTCCGACCATCGTGACAGACGAGCGTGACCAAAACTGAACCAAAAACAGAGTCGACCGCTCCAGGCAGAGAGGGAGGAGAGCCGAGCTGGAAGATACACTAATCCAGCTGTCGGACCAAAAGCCATTCCACTACCCAGCCTACTCGTGGCTGATGTCGGGCTGAAATAAGACTAACCCAGCAATGGAAGGTCGAAGACTACCAAGTTTACAGAGACATGGCTCCATTGTGGCAACCCAAATCATATCCTACATAACCGGCTCAACAGTCGTAATGTATGTCTCTGCCTTTACCCAACGCTTCTAAGAAATCCTCTACGAATTTTTGATACATGTGAAAAAATTGTCCTTAAACCATCTGCTATGATTAGTCAACTTATTGCCCATTGTCAGGCATTTCATGATCAAAACAAGTAATCAGTAACCATCAGTTCACAGGCACAAAGAGAGGCCATTATTACAATTAACCTACCTGTGCATCGCTCCCCTTCCTCCTCCATTTTCACAGCTAAAGGTGAATCCTTGATGACAGCCAACAACTGTGATGGAAGTGATGGGATACACTGCGCCCCCAGAGTTAACTCATGTTCACCAGAGACGGGGGAAGAGGACATAATAACTGGAAAATCCTTATTTGTTGGAGTTGACCCATGACTAGAACATGCATCTGGAGGGGACGCGTTAAATAGAGAGAAACTGGATATGTTTTTTACTGGTGGACTTGGTTCCAGAGATTTTGGTGATGGGTTTGGACTAGAAGACAGAGGTGACAGAGGCAGCTGGAGTTGATTGTTTGATGGAAGAGACTCTGGGTCATTGCAGGAATGTTGGGATTGCCTTGGGGACTCCAGATTGTTTGGTGGCAATAGAGAGAGCTTCAGTGGAATTGGTTCGGGGGATAACCGGGAAGTTTGGGGTTGTTCTCGTAAAAGAGATGAGTCTGAGCTTCTTTGTAATGGAGTTGAGTGGTACACTTTGGGCAATAAGGTTGACTCCGTGGAGCTTGATGGTGAGACTGTGAATGTAGACCTAAAGGAGAAGGATATTGATGTAGAAGGAGAGAGATGGTCTTCTGGGATTGTAGGCCTGGTAGGAGCCAAAGGAGAAACTTCAGGTGGAAATGAGTCCAGGGAGGATGAGAATTTAGGGGTCTCAGTTTGGGAATGTACTAACGAGGGAGAGGACAAAACTTGTATTGATCCACGGTCGGGGTTTGATTTATGGACATTTGGGGGGCATTTGGGCTTTTGTGACATTGCGGTTGGCATCTTGATTGATGTCTTTGAAGTCCTTGGAGTCTCAGCAGCGAGGCATACTGAAAGCTTACTTTTAGAGGACGATGCTGTGCAAAAGAAAACAATAATACGAATATTAGTTGCTTTTGCAGGGATGTGGTCACACCATTTTTTTCGGTAACAAAAAACACACAAACACAAGGGAGTTTTTCACTGGAATAGGGATTATTAAGTTTGTCCTTGACTAATGCTTCGCTTGGCGCCTAAAATGCACAATACTGATTTACCAATAACATCCAATTTTTTTTATATCTTTGAGTGCGGCCAATATTCATAACATATGATCAAATCACCTTTTGCAACTGATCTGTGTGTGTTGAAGACAACAATGGCCAGATTGTGTCATCACACATCACCACCGGTTCTTAGAGCTTATGTCATACGATAATATCTAACATTATATCTGCTTTCTGGAGAGAAAACAGTAGACAAAGCTCACATGTTATTGAGTGTTCTGCTTGTGAAGTCTGAGGCTTAGATAGATGGACCTTCTGAGCTGCTTTAGGTTTTGCTGGTGCTATAGACGGCCTGGATGCTTGTGCTGGACTGGGAGAAGAGCAGCAGACTCTGGAGGACCCCGTGGTTAAAGCTGTTTGGGGCACTAGTGCTCCTTTAATGAGGACCGGCTCAACAGAGGGGACCCTGTGTGGGAAATAGAAGGCTTTGTGAGAGAGAGTCCACGGCTAAACATAACTTCATGGCACATTGTTATCATTAAAAAATATTGGCCACCTTTAACAGATTTTACTTCTATAATACAAACTCCTTATTAAATACTGATTCAATTTGAATGCATGCTGGTAATGTACCATGTAATATGAGGCGACTGGATGTGATGATAATTATCTTCTTTTCCTTTGTCTCAAAGGAAGCAGAAAGTGAATTAAATCAAGTGTTCACCTGATTCCCTAGTCTGTAGATGAAAAGCCTTGTTCTCTCTTACAGTCAGTATTTCACAGACGTAGACTGTTAAGCTTTTTCACACAGGCACCTGTGAATGTAGTAAGCACCTGAATGTCACAACAAATACTTTTTTCTAAATTAGGCTCACTTTCTGTTGTTGTCCGTCCTTCGTTCAGCAACAACAACTCCATTTATGTCTCTGTCCCTCTATAGAAAACAAAAGAGAACAGTGTTGTCACACATACAAATGAGACGGAGAGAAAGAAATCGAAAGAAATAACATGCTGGAGTCAGTGAAGCATTCTACTCCCCCCATTTTCCCCGTCTGGATTCACGGTGTGTGTGTGTCAGCACACGTTTGTTAAAATAAAATGCTTCAGTCATTCTCACCTCATCCAGGACTTCTATGACAAGGCACGACTCAGGTGTGGTAATCTGAGGCTCAGTTGTGCCCCTGCTGACCGGGACGGCAAACATTGATGCACAGTAGTGACGGAAATCCTCCTCCTGAGCTGTAAACGCACACAAACACAAAAATCAACAGGGAAAGAGTGTTGTGTAATGTGCCTCAACGTGAGGAATTCAGAGCACTTGTTTGTTTTTCGTGGCTGCTGCCATGTTTTCAGAATTATCTTCTTTTTTTGCTATTGTGAGAAGAAGAAACAGGAACTAAATAATTATATAACGCATGCATTTATTTGTTCTTTAATGATGACATTATCGTGGATTCAAGGAATCCTTCAGAGTTTGCATTGACATGAGCATTTATCATTACACATGCACACCGTCCAATGTATCAATCACAGGCCAAATCTAACCCCTCAGCATTCTGTCCGACCCTCGGGTCGACTGTCAGCTTTCGGCATCCGGCCAACTTATCTATCAAGCTGCTGCTATGCTTTGGCAGCACTGAAGGTTAAAATCACCTCAACTTTCAGAGAGGCACTCCACTGTCACTTTTGATTAAAAAAATGTGCCCAGCAATTAGAGCTGGTTAATGGGATTGTTTACAGTGGCGTAAACCAAGTCGAAAAATCGTAACAACATAAAAAGACAAACATGAGCATCTGAGTGTTGACTCGGGTGCTTGTTTCCAGTACCTCTCAGCACTTTTCTACCTGTGAAGAAGCCTGGACCCCTGATACCAACAGGGACATTTCCTTCTCCTACATCCTCCTCCGCTAGGAGTAAGAGGTCGGGGGTCAGAGCTGCACGCTTGGGTCTAATTTATCATTCGTTTCAGTTGAAAGATGTTGCTGGCACAGCAGGGAATGAACAGCAGTTTCCCTTCTGATGACACGTGGTAATCTGTGTGCACGTATACATAGATATTGAACAAATGTCGAAGGATAATTTCAGCTCATGTGGCTATTTAAGCAGCAATACATACTGTATGTGGAGATACAAGGATGCACAACTTAATGCAGTTGTAGTCCATTTGGAACACAACAAACATACTGTATGACAAACAAAACTAAACTAAAACAGTACATTCCTGTAGTTCAATTGTTGAATTTGCATCATAAGGATGCTTCCTCTTACCTTGATAGGCACATAAGACATATTGAAAGTATTATTTAAGATACTTTAGAAACATTTCTTCATGCCAATAAAAATATCAACACACTGTATGTTGAAATCCCCTTTTCTTTGCCTTCATTTCTTTCAGTCTGTGTCTTTCTATCGTTGTTTTACCTCTGTCTGTGCCACCTCCCTATCTCCCTCTCTCATGCTAACAATCCTTCTATAGCATCCCCACATGGGTCTGACAGCTTGGGAAAATGAGAATCTAAAACAAGGGAGAGGTCCCACATGATGCCGGAAAAACAGTCTTTAATAATTCATAGACGAACACGTAGCCCACTCTTTCATATTCAAAAGAGAGGAGAGGAGGGGAAACTCTGCTACCTGTTGTAATCGGCATGCGTTAGAAAAGTTTGAAGCAGGTGGAAGGAATAGTTTATCAGCCACTGAACAGCTCTACATTTCCCTGAGACACTGATGTCTTCCTCACATCTGCATATTGCAGAACCAATGGAGTATTAATTATTAAACTGTGAGCAGAGAAGTGAAATGCATGACGACGACACGGTCTCTCCAGCGGGTCGGGGGACGGCGTCAGCAGCGGTGATCGCTGTATGAGCGCTGTGATCAGCCAGTGGGACACACACTGCTTCCATTAGCATGATGGGTATTGAATCAAGTACTCTATTGGTATTAGTATCACTTTAAGGGTATTGGTATCGGCATCACAAGTTTTTAAACAATACCCAGCCCTATATATGTATGTGTGTGTGTGTGTGTGTGTGTGTGTGTGTGTGTGTGTGCAAAAGTGTGTAAGTGTTTAAAATGTTGCTTTAGGGACAAACAACCCAACCTTGGCTGCAGGAAGATTTCCAAGACTGGTATACTTATATTTGTTTAATATATCTTTTGATACAACCCTCCATGCCCTTTTAAAATGTGTGACAAAAGTGTACAAAATTTTGTTAATTTGGTTAATTTTGTGTTAATAAGAATTTTGCAACTAAGAAAACTGGGTATTGGAATAGAGAAGGTTGAGAAACCCTCCTTTGAGGAGCATTTTCTACTAATTATAACCATAAAACCACTTGCAGCAAATGGTAAAATCCTCAATGACTCCTCAATGACTCTGACTGAACTTCAGCCTCCAGACTCCAAGACCAAGGCCTGACAGAAACAGTCTGGTCCCCTAAGTAGCTTTCTAACCGTCATGAATCATCTAGAGGTTGTTCTTGAATTTCATGTGCTTTTGTGTGTCAGGTGAAAAACAAGAAATTCACCTTAAGTTCATTGACTATATTTACATGCACAAAATATTCCTTTTTTTGCCCTCACCCCGAAAAAAGACACTAATCCTACTAAGCTGTTTGCTAATGCACATTATTATTCCACTAACATTCCGGTTTACATGCAGCCGTGCATACTCAGATTCATGTCACCTGTTGCGTAAACTTGTTCAGCCACTTTCTTGAAAAGGTCGGCGTTGCGATATTTACGCATATCCAAAAACCTGTTGATATCCATTATGCTGTTTACATGACAGATATCGAATTTCGGGAATATTGTCATATTCAGAATAATAGTAGAATGTGAGTATGCATGTCAACGTAGTCATTGCTGCGTAATCAAGTCCATCAAAGCAAATGTTTTGTTCTCGGTCATTATGGGGGCTGAAAACTTGTTTGAAGCATTAGCCAGAGAGAGAGAGTGATTATTATGTCTGGGATGGGATGTAGAAGAAGGCAACCTACGGTTGGATGGCTGGCATTATCAAAGATGCTGGCGCATGGAGTACAAGAAGTGAGAAAAGTACAAAGCTGCCCATCTATAAGAGTTGTAATACTTAGGAGACAGGAGCTGTTTTCAAGCTGTATGGTGTTACTTTTATTAAGACTGCATCTCTGATTTATTAGATCTGGCGCAGTGAAGACCTACAAGAGATATTGTTAATTCATAATGCCAGTGCCCGTTCAAAAGGTGCCTGTTGGGAACGGGTCGACTGTTTGGCCTCCGGTATTGCCGCTCATCCAAACAACTTTACATGATACGGTTGCATCCCCTAGCAGTATTGGAGCATACGTGTCATTTGGGGGCAAAAGCTCGAAAGAACATTGACGGCCTGAGAGCTGTACCCAGTGTGCTGTTTGACAGTGTGACAGTTAATAATGTAACTCGCAATGGAGAGCGAGATGTAACCCCCCGCATGCCGTTCAGCGGTGTAACAGATAAAAAGGGTCACCTCTTAATACACTACACATAACGCACTAATGATAAATATGACCCACAGATTTCAAGAGCTCACAAAAAAGGAAAGACGTACAAAAATAATCATTTTAGTTAGCTGCACTGCAGTACTTTCAGGATACCCCAGTTACTAGGAAATATTAGCAAAAACTCTAAGCTTTACTGTGTCAAATTTGGGTGGTTGCCATGTCACATATCAAACATTTCTATGGGGAGCACAGGAAACCATCTTAACCTCCAAGATTTTGAAAGAAATAACATCTATTTGACATCGACAGCTATGTGGAAGGGGTCAAGCCAGGACTTGCAGATCCTAACAAGGTTGGGATTGAAGTGAATCTTGATTGATGTGATGCGAGGCAGTTGGAAGCCCCGGGGTCCACAGGTTTCGAAGGGGAGAGATAACCACGGTCTACCCGTCTCCCGACAGCCTCGGCTGGGGGCCTGAAAGCCCGGGCCATCCCCTGACTGATGAGCTCTGGGCCCCGAGCTTCAGACTACAGGCCAAACCTCCCCCACCCCCCAACCCCTCTCCCTGTCCCACTCCTTTCCCAGGCAGAGTGCAACCTGTCAGGCATGAGCCGCTTCTAACGGCCCTCTGCCCACACAATCACAGCCAGTGATTACCCATCACACCGCCACGGATGGATGGGCAGGCACTGATACGTCTGACCCGCTGAGAGGGAGAGGTTTTTTTACTTTTTGTATATGTGTGTGTGCAGGTGATCTGTCAAACTACTCTGTCTGTAGCAGTTTCTTTGTTTGGTCTAACAGCCTGTTTGGGTATGTATATCAGAAAGGTGGTATGTGCAGGTATGTGTGTGTGTGTGTGTGTGTGTGTGTGTGTGTGTGTGTGTGTATGTCCTCATGTATTACCTGTTAGGCTGCTTGCAGTCTCCTCCCCAGTGTTTGCTTTAGGCATTGATTTTAAATCTGTACCAAAGGCCAACAATGGACGATAAGTTTCGACTGGTGTTCTAGAAACAACAAATCACATAGAAATGAATGAATAAATACTAAATGAACAAAAATAAAACACGAAGCCATACGCTGTGGGCCAGACCGCAGGCAAAAAGTAATTGGCTGAGTAACAATTGTCTTATTTTCCTCTTTTCACTCTTATGCACTCTTTCTTCAACTCCTTTATCCTGAAATCTGTTAAATGGATAGATGGACATATTGATGGATATATGCAGTCTCTGGTTGTATTCATTCTGCTGCAGCCCCACTTAAACAGCCCTTCACACAGTCTCTCTTTATTCCCTCCTTCCTGGTCTAATATAGCCAAAGTTCAAGGCCAGCGGGAGAGACATTATGAGAAGCTCCAGGCTGTCCATAAGGTGAGACTGGGAAAGTTACTTATATATTTTTCTCTTAATTAGTCCATATCCTCAAACTTGGCAAGGTTTATCCTTTCTCAGTCTTTTTAATGTACTCAGAGAGTTATATTTAATCCTGTCCCTCAAATCACTTTACACCATCCATCCATCTCTTTTTCTCCTTACATACGATACTTTACATGCAGTAGCCCCTCTAGCCTCAGGCTGTTTGCATTCAGGCTTTTGCCCGAGCGCAGGAGAGGAAGCATGTTGCTCTTCTGGGTTCGTCTTAGGCTTTGCATTTTCACCTCCCTTTGGTGATACACGTTTGATAAAAGCGACCTTCAACTAATTTAGCCAGGTTTACACATCCACAGAGGCAAAAACTAGCCCTGGAGAGGTGTCCTTGAGCCCCTACCAAATTAGCCTGCATCCTGTAAGGAAGAACGAGAGGAGAGTTTCCCTAAAGTAATTAATAAAGTGGCAAATTATTTATAAGTCTCTCTAAAAAGGAGCAGTATAACTACGATGCCATTCAGAGAGAAATGATGGAACTGTAGTATTGAGTGAGCGGGAGGTGAGACACCGCTAAGTGATGTATAGGACGTACTTTCTCAGCTTGTCAATTTTATTTATGATACTTCATCAGAAACAATACTTCATTTTGGTTTAGGCATTATCTAAATGTCCCTTAGACTAATGGAAATACCCTTGTTTGATGCCCTCTGCATTGAAGCGAAATTAAAGCCAGAGGGATTTGATAGCAAGGAGCCCTTTAAGAGGACCATTATCGCTGCTATATTTGCACAGCGGACAGCGGGTTAGGTCAATCAAATTTGACATATGTTCCAAGAGTGCTTCACGGAAGTCACCACATCTATTAGAGGTGATACTTTGGCCATTACTCCAACCAGCTGAGCTTCTATTTTTTGTCTTAAAAGCTAAAACTTTGGCTCGAAGTAACCGTATGTGACAGATCTAATTAGCTGCTTCAGATCAGTCTTTTACTTCAGAACCCTATTGACAGTTGATGGGCAGAGAAAATAAACAGCTCAGAAATAAAGTATTCACAGTCTCGCTGGAGAAAAGATGTAAAAGTACTGGGCGTGACTTACAAACAACAAGAAAACAATCCACTGGACTTTTTTGTTGATAAGTGTTGTTTAGAGGCAATCTGACATCTATGTATGCTCAAGAATAACAAAGATTTGCTCTTTTTTAAACTAATAATGACATGGAAAAACATCATCAACCCTTTTTGAGTATAATAAACCAATAATGGCTCGATGGCTGTTGTAAGCTATTTATCACCGTGTCTTATCTTGTGTAGGCCCAATAGGGTGGCTACAAGATGAGTTATTTTTACATTAAGGAAGCCTTTTCATGAGTCAAAAGTAAACATATATGCCTTGTAGATGACCTATACATTGAAGTGATAACACAAAATATAAAGAAGCATCTTTCTCCTTGGATGAGAAATAACTAAAATCCCACTGGACCAGGTTTGGGTTTTATATTTGGCAGTACAAGTCGGGTGCAGTCAGGTCATTTCTTACAGACATGGCTATGGGCCAGTTCAGATCTCCGTTCTATGCCCATGCAGACTTCTATTTCAGGGTTCAGTGCCTTGATCTCTGGCAGTTGATGGAAGGGCCGACCCACGCTGCCCAGCCAGCTCAGAAATCAGGTTGATGCCCCACCCCTGGTCACAATCCTGCTTTCTGGGGCATGTAGGCCACCCAAAAACCCAACCAGGTGATAGAGCGTATGACTCTAATATCGTCGAGCCCTTTTAGCAAATTCTTCAAGTTCTGGGAGAAAAGAAAATCCCTCATCTTCCACACTCCCTCCTTCCCTCACTCCCCCCCATTATTATAGAGGCTTGTTAAAATTCAGCCTCCCACTTCTTTCTGCCAGCCAGCCAGCCTCTCTGTCTCTCCATTAAGCTCTGCCACCATCACCGCTGCAGGCTTATTGCACTCTAGATTGGCTCTCGAGTCTATTGCAAAGTTAAAGGCTGCTACAGCAGGGGACTAAGAGCATTCCGGCCCAGGCAGTCAACGGGCCTAAAACTGTACTCTGCTCTCCTCTCCTCATGGCCCGCTCTCCAGTGGGCAACTCAGCCCAAAAGGAGCCGCTTAAATAAAGGGCTGTAATAATGGGACCTGCTGAAGCCAGGCCCTCGGGCAGTCTACGGCACAATAAGTGCTTAGAAACTGCTTTGTACACCGGTGGCTTATGTAGGCTGACTACAGAGCGCCGGGAGAGGAGATGTGTGGTGGCAAGAGATGGTGTGTGTGATGTCAAAACTGTGTGTGTGTGTGTGCACATGTGGATGTATTTGTGTCCCCACGTAAAGGAAGTGGAAACAAAGAGCAGATATGTGTGAAGTGAGAAGGAGAGCTTGTGAAAGCTGTGTGTGCATGTGGGTATATCAACGTCCCCAGCTGTAGAGCAACCTCATTAGGTTTTCACAAAGTGACCTCTGGATAAGCCTTTTAAAGGGTTTGGCATGTATGCTATAATGGTCTGATGTTCATGGGCACAAGTAGACATGATTTTAAACGTAGAAAAATAAATAAATGAAAATAAAAAAGTAAAACAATACAAATCTCATTTACCTTAGCATTGCTGCTCTCTTAAAAAATAATAAATGTCACAGAACGGTTGAATTGAAATCACAATCTTGGATTATGGTGAGTCCACCCAAAGCTTCACAGTAGCATACTGTATGTGGGGTGTTATAGTTGTAAATATTACAGTAACAAATACAGTATTACTCACAATTCACAATTGATTCAAGTTGTACAACATGTCAACAATGAAACCGCTTTTGGCACTAAAATGACGTATTTACCCACATTATAGTCTGAACTCGCCATTGTCTATTGTACCCTTTAGCCTGACTAATCATGTAAACGGTAAGTTTATTACCTTCAAGCCCTCTAATAAAAGAAATCCTTCCTACAACACTTAGAAATCATCCCATTTTGTGAAGAAGCAATTGCAACGGCTTAGAAGCATCAGTTGAGCATGCACATTTTTCTCTCCGTCTGTGTACCTGCGGTGCTTCTTGAGAAGCAATCTGTCCACGTAGGTGAGGCTGTTTTCTGTGAACTCCACCCTGACAGGTACCCTCTCTTCTCCCCCTCCTCTGTTTGGAGAGAGGTCAGACTGGGTCGCCATAACCGACACAGATACTGGAGAAATAGGGGGAAGGGGAGATCACACAGAAAATAGAGTTATAAGGGGAGGAGGAAAGCTAAACAGAAAGAAGGAGCCAGACAGAGGTAGAAAAAGGAAAGCAGGAAAACATCACTCGCCAGCTTCTCAACACCTTTCTCAAAACACCTCCCCTCATGAAGTGAGAAAACACCTTGTCACCACGCCAAGAGTGCCAAAACACAAGCAGACAAGAGAGAGCCCCCTGGGAATAAGAAAAAGATGTACACAACACAACAGGAACATAGTAAGTGCATGAGAGAAAAGAAGAGATAGAGGTAAGAAAAAGAGAAATTTATGATTGTGCTCCAGACACTTTGGCAGTCCACAGTGTCGCCTTTAAATTGGGCCCGGGTGCCATTGGCCTGACAGAAATAATTAGGGCTGGAGGGGCGAGTAGTAATTTGCAGAGCGGAGCGAAGGCAGAGAGGAGCAGAGTCTGTCCAAGCAGCAAAGCAGAGAAAATAGGAGGCCTAATGAAAAGCACAAACACCTAGCCACATACACACAGAAGCTGGAATAATAGCACTAATAACACACATCCACACACACCTGGACACGCACACAATGTTGCACATGCACGCATGTAGAAACACAGTATTTGGGGAAAAGGCATCAAAATTGCCTGACGCAGTGGACCTTGTACGCGTACTCGCATACACACAGCTGAGTTGGTTAGTGCTGTGGTGTGGAGTAGGGCCACCCCTAATAACACTCCTCTCATTATCTCAATATGCAACAGCCGTGGATTACCCTCCGACTGCAGTGGTAAGCACTTTCTCTGAGGCCTTAACAGATCAGAGCACAGAGAGGGAGAGGGGGAGCAGGGAAGCTGAGGGGGAGGTGAAAATGGGAGAGAGCAGGAGAGAGGAAGAGAGCCAAGAAGAGGAGGATGTACAGGCAAAGGTGGAAAGAAATATAAACACATTTACCCAAGTATTTCTGTGTATACACATACAATTTTGAGGTACCTGTACTTAACTTCAGTGTTGCCGTTTGTGAGGGACACACTAGAGTATCATTTTTAGTCGTATTTTCATCTGATAGTTACTTGGTAGAATTAGCTTTTACATGCAAAAGAAAGGGAAACTCATTAAATATGGTACTCTATATACGCCACTACATAGAACATTGGACGAAGCACAACTTGGATCACCACAACATACTGTACCAGGCATGTCAAACATCTTAATGGGACTACTTATCAGAATAAGTACTAAAGTTTTTGGTTTATACTTTAACTAAAGTGTGTTTTTAATGCAGAGCTTTGACTTTTAATGAAGTAGGCTTTTCTACTTTTACCTAGTCCCAGTCCCTCACTCTGCCTAAACCTGTGTGTGTGTCTGTATGTGCCTTCCACCATGTATATGCAGTCCACCTGGTTGGATGGGTGTCCACATTGCATCCTCACTCGTGGGTTCTCCTGATCCGTCACTCTTCTCTCCTCTCCATTGTCGCAGAGCTTCCTGGAAAGATCTTGCAGACTCCACCTCATTGTAGTCTCCTTTATTAAGAAAAGACATTTTCTGCCCTTCTTCAATCGTTTCTGACTTTTCCTCATCTCCATGATCGTCAGTCAACACCTGCAAAAAAAAAAAACAGAATATCCCTTGACTTTCGTTAGTAATGAATGGCCAAAATATGACACGGTTAACAAGCTTCTGTCCTGTATATGCATATCATTAGTAAAGGTTATCACTTCAAACTAACTTGTTTTCCGATATACTAACAACAAAATGAATCGAATCTGTATGCCTGTGTACTTTCGCATGACTAAATATTCATTTGTTGATGAGTGCAAAATAACGGAAGGGACAGTTAATGAGATTTTGAATGCTGCAGGAGCACTACTGCCTGATGATTCTGCTGGCGAGGGGCAAGGAAAAGCACGTCTTTAAAGTTTACAGCTACGCAAGCTTGGCTGTGACCTCGGCTATACCTTTGTTGAGACGCCATTAAAAAGTGACGGAGGAAACATATCCATCTTCATCTTTGACCTCTAAAATGTAGCTTGGGTTGGAATAAACGCACATTTGTGTTTGGATGGTGTGACTGAGCTCAAGGGCTTGCGGTTCTGCATATATCTACTGTATATTCATACTTTTGCATTATGCAGCCTGTTTACACTCATCGTCAGTAGCTAAACATATTCACTTTTAAGTCAGACAGTTGTATTTGTTTCTCAGGTTGGTGGCTTTTAGGTCTTGCTTGGTCGCTGAGTGAAGTCTATTCTGAATATGTCAGTTATATATATATATATATATATATATATATATACACTAGTTTGATATATAAACAATATATATTCGATATCTTCTGATCCCAACTGTCCGAAAACGACTGCTGTGAGAATAAGATCAACTGAGCTCTGTGGTGTAAAGAGTCTGGAATGTCAATCGAACTGTTTTTGCCAGAGCTCTACTGTTGGGGGGGGCTTTTTTTTAGTCCAAAGGTCCGTGCAGGTCCTGTAGATACAGCCTGTGGATAGAACGTCAATTAGGGTTAGTTTGAAGGCTTTTCAATTGACTCACAGGGTGTGGAGGTAAAACTCACACGGCACAAAGGCTTGTTTGACATGTTTCTGCTGTGGTGTCACAGCAAGTGAACTATAAATGGAGAGAAATTTCCTTCATGGATCAATAAGCATTTGAAAAAAAAAAAACAGCTATTCTTTTCAAAAATAATTGTTGGTAAAAGCAACGTTTTTTTAATGGATTTTCTTGAAGGTTTTGAAAATACAACTGTGTGGACAAAAAATCTATCCAGTACCATTTGTTATTTAGGATTCCACACTGTTCTCCAATATAAAGTCAACAATCAATTGTGAAATCCATTTGACGGTAGCAGGAATGGCAGACTTTGGCTTAAAGGACCAGAAGTTAAAGAAAGAACACTGGACCGCATATCCATATTCTTGACTTGTGACGTGCTGATTTAACCCGGTGCCTTTTACATTTAAAGCTTCGACCCGATGGTCCTGTCCACAGCGAACTTCACTTTCACACAACAAAGCACACGAAAGCACACATAACCAGATAGCAGTGTTAATGCAAGTCCCACTGCCCCTTACAGAACATCTTTCAGTCACAGTAATAACTCATCATATTATTATTCACCTTTATCAACATTTCTTTCTGTCACTTTCTTTTGTTTCATCAAAAAGTCAATACAATTGACCGTACTATATGCTAAAGGATGTGAGTCAATGTATATCAACACAATTGTATTTTTTTCACCTTAACTCAGTACTTGCTCGTGTTTTCAGGACCCGTAGAAGTGTGTATTACCAAATAAGATTACCACCATACCTGGCTGGGATCAGGGTTCAGCTGCACAGGTTTCTCCGCAGCATGACTTGTAGTGGTAATGGGATAGGAGCGAGGGTCAGTCTGTTTCTGGAAGCAGCTGACAACATCTCTTGTGCTCACATGGGTCTGTAAGTCTGTCTGTAAAAGAAGGCCATCGTGTATGAGATTAAATCAACATTGTTGTTGCTGGAAAAAAAAAAAAAAAGAGAAAAGGCAGCAGCTGGCACTTTCTGAGAGAGATATGACACATTTAATACAAAATACATAAAATGTAATAGCGTGGAAATTAACTGAATCACAAGCAAGTGGAAAAAGTACGATAATAACGGTTTGCATTCGTTGCATAAAAGCAAGAGATAATACGGCATAACATAAGAAATTGGTCGGTTATTTATCAGAGCTGTGCATTTTGTTAGAGAAAAATATAGCAACAAAGAGTGAGGCGGTAGACGATCAACAGCGGCGCTGATCAACAAAGCGACAGAATCGTCAAACTGTAGACAATAAATGAAAACATTTGCATACGATTAAGCGAGTTCTGCTGCATTTACACCAACGATATGAAGGCAACGAGATGACGCTATAGACAGCTGCCATGAACCCCATTTGAAGGGTGCAACCACATTACTTTAAGTGCTCATAGCTACATCACGAGCATAACCTTGAGAATCACTCAATTGAACTCAATTTTATTAGTTAATGTATGCACTTTTATTTCATGTAAAGGAAAACACAAAGAGCCTGAAAGACACTGGAACTGTGCATCACAATGTGACCAAGCTGGTATCACATTTTATTGCCGTTACATCCCATTTTAACCACAAAGCAATATGGATCTGTTGACAAACTTGGTCCAGTAAGGCGTCACACATACACCGAGCCTCTTCTTTTCAATCACCTCGGGGAAAAAAAACTAAAAGCATTTACAGAATGTGATCAGATATCTCCATACTTTCTGGACAAGAGGAAATTCGCTGAAGCCCGCTGAATGAGTGTTGATTGATTTTCTCCATTCCACAGGCTGAATTCATTATTGGGTTCCATTAATCACCGGGGACCAGTAGGGCTGCTGAGGTTAACCAGTCTGCAGACTTTCATCATGTCCTTGAAGGTCTCCGACGGGGACGCAGAAACAAACGTGTCGGGGGAAATCGTGGAGGTAGCTGAGACACGGACAGCTTGAGAAAGATGAACATTCGGACTCGGCGAGGAAGCTGTACAGTATACTTCTGCTCATTTTGTGTTTTTTATTGCTGGCCCTGTAGCACCTTCACGGAGATTCACACTGTCTGCCGAGATCTAGCCCGTTTCTACAGGACACAAGCAGCCTACTGAGCGTAGAGAAACTTTATAGGATCAATTTAATCCAAGGAACACAATAAAAATTGGTCTTATGAGCCCCTTCGGCCCAGGGACCTTTGTGGTGACCTTGGTTGTTTCACCCATGAAACTTTTACCGTGTGGGTGTGATAACCGTCTAAGATGCACCACTGTAACTACGCCACATTAAAAAGGAGGCCTCTGGCAGCATGAGATCATATTGCACCAGACTCTTTCTCCTGCAGGACAGAAGCACAGTCCTGTGTTCGGCCGTCTCCTGGTGGGTGAGCTCTTTGTTTACGCCTGCGATGTATTCTGCATCTGGTCCTAATGTCGTTGCGGATGGATGAATCTGTAGACGCCCCAATCTGGCAAAGACAAGAGACTCGTTATCGGTTTGAAATATCTACGGTTTCTTCGGTGATGAAAGCGGAGCGTAGTTCATTCAATGATACTCTATCCCTGTGTTGAATTAGTTTATTCAGCGCCTCGTGGGAGAGAACTCGCCTGTGGCCATGGAATCTTTAAGAATCAAATCTTTATCTCCAAACAATTCCTCGAGCCCGGGGACATTTCCTTCCTCATCGTAACAACTTCTGATGGAAAATCTTTGCATCGCACGAGGTTTTTAAACAGTGCGACTGCTGAAGCCGTCTCTCTCTTGCTCCGTTTCTCTCTCTTTTCCGTCTCTTTGGTCACCAGCCAACTGTGCTTACAGGTACACATCAATGGACACTTAAGGCCTCAGGATGCTTCCAAGTAAGAGCTTGTCAGATCATCTAAGAGTGCCGGAAACCACCTTCCACAAAGGTGTAGGAGTAGGCATTGGCTTTAACCGTCTCTCTCAAAGCTCTTGTTTTTTCATTCTTCAGAAAACATTTTGTTTGTACAACCAATTGCAACACAATGATCGCCTGCCTGCCAGGAGACACTTGGGACACATTACACATGTCGGAAAGATTCGCCATTCACAATTGTGATCAGTCTGTGTTAAATGTTTACCATTACTTGGTAGGCCCACAGTTCCTAGATAGAGTGGGCCACATTATTGCATTTGATACTGTGGACACACCTCAGACAAGGCTACCATAATCATGCTAATGAGCAAAGAAATCCTCACTCCCTGCATTCATATCAAATCTAAGTTGTGCAACAAAAATATAAATATTTCTCAGGCAGTGAATCTCGCCGTGCTAGACCAGCTCCAGGATGCTGCGCAGCAGTTGAAGCAGCACAGTTATATTTTTTGCCTTTTTACGAGAGACAAAGGGAAATAAAATGTTCCCAAAGGGAAATAACATTGCAGGCTTTATGCTTCTCATGTGACCATCAGAGAGAGAGAGACAGAGACAGAGAGAGAGAGAGAGAGAGAGAGAGAGAGAGACAGCGACAGAGAGAGAGGCCATCAAACAATAAAAAAAATATTGAAACATTTAAATCATATAAATTGTGTATGCCAATGTGATTTTTGAAATATTGCTGTATGATGAAAAATCACATGACATCAGAATTGTTTTGATACAGCATACCACACCCATGTCTGCACAGGGTTAGGCTAAATACCAAGAATGCTCTGCAAACATGAATTGAACCAACATGTTTGTGTGTGTGTGTGTGTGTGTGTGTGTGTATGTGTGTGTGTGTATGTGTGTGTGTGTGTGTGTTGGCTGGAAACATTAGCTGATGAGGCACAGACAAAAACCCCAACACAGCATACTGATGAAATTAATATTCGTTTTTTGTCTTTCTGTCCCTCCCTCCCTCGTTCTTTCCAAGGCAAATGAAACAGGATTAACTGAGGAGAGAGAGGGAGAAAGAGAAGCCTGCGTCAGCTGCATGTGTATAATCTCCCGCCTTAGTGTCCTGCCAAAACACACAGTTTTGCATGTGTGATTGAATAAGAGTATGCATCGAAACTGCGAGTGAGCCTCCATCCGAGCATCCCGGAGTCCGTGACGTGAGGAGAGAAACAAAGGTGAACACTGAAGAGATATACAGAGGTATAGAGAGTTGCCATGTTGTTTTCACTGAGCTGTTTCAATGTGTGTGTTTTCTTTTTCCTCTATCAGTGAGTATGACCCGTGTATATAAGCAGAGCTACACCGCATCACGTAATAATAATACTTGCTAGTGTGCTATCCATACAACCATGCAAGATCACAAAGCCCACGTCATGGAATAGTCTATCTCTTTGTGAGTTCTTCGAGGTCAAAATAAGAGAAACCCAAGAAAACAATCATATGACGAGAAGCGAGCAAAATCACACACAGCTAGCAGAAAACAAGACGCACAAAAGCCAAGAGTACACGGAGTTACTCCATAAAACTTAGATAATGTACATAGAAATGACCTCCGGACATAATAAGAACAAAGTACAAAAACACAGGAGTGAAGAATTCATACTTCCATTATACACGTCAGTAGAGTTGAATAAGGAGCGACTTTTCCAAAAAGGTGCTTTCTCTCTCGTCACCTGCATGACCTCAGCCAATCAGTTTAGCTCGGTAGATTATGGCGACCGTAACGCAACCGTTTGGGTCACGGCAGTTATATGCAGCAGTGGACCTGATAACACGTTGGCCAGCGAGACCGGGCGAAGGAGAAGATATGAAGAATGAGTTCATTTGAGAAGCAGTTGTTTTAAGCAAAGCCTGCTTAAAGGAGCAAATTAGGGCTTTTGATGTCAATTTAGGCAACAGTATGTTTACTAGTTGGTTAGAAATCTCAAAGCGACAGGCAAATACTGCTGTGAATGCCTGCTTAACACTTAATATTGTCAAGTTCAAATTTGACATGATGATTAATTCAATTTATCAGCATACTTTATCATTTATGAGTATTTGGTATGCCTTTAATACAAATTTGGTTCAATAGGATATTGCCTAATTAATTAAACTCATTGTTAGAGTGTGTGTGTGTGTGTGTGTGTGTGTGTGTGTGTGCATATAAGTGACCAGGGCATTTGCTAATGAGGGGCATTCATTTTGTTATCAGGTACGATGCGGCAAACTTGCAACACTGCAAACCACAGACTCAGGCATGTACAGTCCAGCCTTCCAGTTCTGTGTGTGTGTGCGTGTGTGTGTGTGTATGGATACATACGTGAGATGGGGTGCAGAAGCAAAGAAAAAAGGGGGAGAGGTTGAGAGGTTGAGATAAGTAGATACTGTAGTCAGGGATGCAAGAAATGCAAAAGAAGCATGAGGAGAATGGGATGAGGAGAGCTATTATTGAATGTATCTGTGCAAGAGGAGGAGAGGAAGAGAGGAGAGGAGAGGAGAGGAGAGGAGATGGACTTGACGCCCGTGGGACCACGCTCACCTGAATAGGGATCATCCTGTGGAGCTTCAGTGCCCCCTTCTGGTGGAATTTGGTAAAGCAGCCAATGCAGTAGTGCTCTGTGCATTCAGCACACATCTACAACACAGAGATACACAGTGGAGTCAGTGTGTGTGCGCGTGTGTGTGTGTGTGTGAAATAGTCTATTTTCCATAGAAGTTCACTCAACACAATCCCTGCTCCTACACCTAACTAGGTTAACTACGTAGGTTAGGTGGAGTTAAGCAGGCAGGTATGTGTTTGAGTTACTGACGTGCGTGACCTTTGATATGCTTCACTACCCATATCTGTGTGTGTGTGTGTGTGTGTGTGTGTGTGTGTGTGTGAATGAGAGAAGGGGAGGGAGAAAAGGACCACGGCTTCTTAAAATTCATAAACAACAAACAGTAAGAAACCGCCATATTTTGTTTGTTTCCCTTCATTTAAGATGTAGGTGTATTTCTCCCGCCCTCAAATGCAGCCCGGCCAATCATAGCAAAGCATTGGCCAGCTTTGACCAGGGTCCGACAACTATGTGGCTTTGCTCCAGCTCGTTTGACGACAAAGTTTGACATCCTTGATATATTCTTCAAGAGCATATTGCAGATTCTTCTTTCCGCTTCTCTCTGACACCTTGGCGGAGTAGCAAAACAATGCAATACAAAACAACACACTGTTCCGTATGAAGTCATTGTGGATAAACAGAGATTTTTACAGTGCAGTTTTCTTCCAGCTGATTAACCAATTAATCCTGCTCCTTTCATTTTACTCTTTTATCTCATCTTCTCCCCGTTGTAGTCCTATAGTGTGTGGGCATGGGTGCGTTCACATGCAAGCCTACAGCTGTGACATTGCCCTTTAATGGTCCCATAAAACAGGGCCTCATTTCCCTTCTCAGGCCTGAGGATAAATTACAGCCACTCACAAGGGACGAGGCATCCCCATCAGGCTGCAAGCAGCATATCACTGCGCTCTCCGGCTACACAGAACAAAATGAGCTCCTTTTTTTTGCCTGGATGACTCTGAAATACAGCACACGTCCAGGCGTGCAGCGTGTGTGCGTGTGATTTTAGTAAAGTCTGTGCCAGTATGTGAGTCATAGTTCAAAATAAGCCCAGATGTGTTTATGATCGTGTATTTGTGTGTGCATGTGTGTGTGTGTGTGTGTGTATTTTCAAACAGAATGACGGGGACAGAGTCGTAACGCTTTCCATTATTGCCATCATTATAGTGCTATACAAAAGCTGTGTGTGTGTGTGTGTGTGTGTGTGTGTGTGTGTGTGTGTGTGTGT